TTTGTTCACAGATTAGTTTGGAGACGGATCGACCGGTAGTGTAGAAAGCTGGTATTGGATCTGCTAAGATCTCTTCCTGTTCAAATTTGCTTTCTGTGGCTGGAGGCTACTCTTGATAGTTATTTGGAATGAAATTTTGTTCATCCCCTTAACAAAGAGATAGTTGGTTCCATTCAGTACTTCCATGAACTTCAGACAGTGTTTATGTAGTGTGTATTCAAAACACGCCAGCTATTTCTTACCGTCATGTAGTTTCTCTGACCATGAGCTGGGCTTCTCTTTTATCAGAGGGCTTCTGTTTACCTGGCATCTCTTTTTGTTCTTTTCTATCTTCTTCTGTGCAATCATTTCCTACACTGCCTGAGCAAATATGATTATGAAGAGGAAGAACCGCAGAATTTCCCTGCAATGGTTTCTTCAACTTTTCTTCCGAAGACCTGCTTCTGTCTCCCTGTCTCACATCTGAGGTTGATAATCCCTTCTCCACTTCCCTGGCTCCAACGTGGACATTGCTGTGGAGCCCATGAGCAAATCACTGTGGATGATTTCCATTTGCATCTCATGTCTCATTGTTCCTTCTCGTTGGGACTTCTGTCCTCTCTTGTACATCCATAACCCATTTCTTCCTGGTTTCACATTGCTAGTGGAGCAATCTGTGCCAGGTAGGAACAAATTCAGGGGACTCTTTAAAGTAGAAAGTTACTCAACCCAAGAAATTTCACCTTCCAGGAGAGACCTTTGCTGGTGAATAGATATCTTAAAATTGGTCTCTACTTCCAAGTCTTTGCCAGGGAAGTCAAACCAGTAAAAGCTTTTTGATAAGGATTGTGTACTGTGTATAAAAACTGCCTGTATTGCTAACCAGACTTCTCTAATTATATAAACCATCCTGCAGAAGTTTTCTTTTGCTGCTATAAATTGTGCCAACTCAGGTGGTTTCCTTTCTAAGCTATTTTGGCAAAATGCTGCCTATGCAATTCTTTGTAAGCTAAAAGGATCCCTTATGGAGGATTTTTTTGGACCAGGTAAATTTTTCTATTGGCCTGATATGAAAATCTACCTTGGGTCATACCAAAGCCTTTGGCTTAGCTGCAGGAGTGGGAACACAAGAGAAGGAAAGCAAGAGACACTTCTATTGCAGCCAAAAAGCCCCTGAAAGATCTCAGTATGCCCAGCCCCAGTACTTAGCTAAGTAGCTGAGTATATCCACTGTCACCAGAGGATGTGAGCATTGACAGTACGTGTCCTTCCTCTGCTGGGTGTTGAAGTCATCATGGACAAGACGTATTAGGTATTTTCTTATGCTTATGCAGGCTGTTGAAAATGCTGGGCCAGATGCACAGCTCCTTTAGATTAATGCCAGTGCACCTCTTTACACCAGCTGACAGCCTAACCCATAATGCACTAAATGCTATTTATTATTTTATTTTGTTTGCTAAAGTGACAATGGAAATGACAGTGATACACAGGTCAATTCAATCCTGCTGACATAGCCTTAAGGGGTTTTATGTTTGGGGTTTTTTTTTTCCCTTCTCCCAAGAGAATGTCCTTTACAGTTTTATATTTTGTAAGGTTTATTAAATAAGCTCAGCATATTAGCCATCTCATAAGCTTGTTATTTTTTTATATCTCTTTATTTCTTTAGCTTTATTAATCATCATGGTACTTGAAGTTGCTAACATGGGAAACACAGTGTAAGAATAAATACTCATTATTATCAAAGTGCTTTTATAAAATGATCTGTAGGATTAAATCCCTATTAAAGCAGCATTATTGGTCATGATTGTCATTATTATTACATATTAATTAATCATACCAAGATAGTGCAGCTTTCAGAATTATCTTTACCAAAGTCAGTAAAATAAAAAGGTTTCAAATTGCAATAGATTTAGTGGTTTAGAACATGGTACTGGAATTATAGATAATATTATTTATTCAGTTCAGTACCGGCAAAGAGCTGATGATGTGCTCAGTGCTGTGTACAGCAGAATTTGCTGTCTGAAACATATACTTTAAGACAGGGAAATGATATAGTTGCATTAGAGTAGGGTTTTTGGTTTTTTCCTGAAATCCAGGAGTTCAGTGTTGCTTATGGCTCTGCTACTTCCTGTGTCTATTAAATTTTGTGCGTTGTCATTTATTTAATCTTTCTCTGACTCAGTATAATGATGTGCATAAAGAACATTCCATTAATTAATCTGTGTACAATATTTTGAATTATAGGTACCACATAAGAGTGGAGCATTTTTTCCCATACCTGAGAAGAAGCTGCAGCTGACATGAATTGCCATATCTGTAAACTCTTCATAGAGTGGTGCCTTTTTGGTTAATGTAACTGTGAGCTGATGTGATGGGCAGATTGTGTACAGCACACTTCCCTCTTCTTCTTTTATCTGAAGTGATGATATTACTTCTGCCCTTTGATGGAGTAACCTAGCTAAGCTTCAAGAGACATGGGATAAGAAAAGACTGACAAATAAAATATTTTTATGGCAGGTGTTGTGAGATGGTACTGTTATATAAAGTCTTCCAAGTTTTTTTTTTTCCCCCACCTTATCATGTGAGCAAATGTTCAGTCTTGGGAAGACACACTGTGTTTGTAAATATTCTTTTGCAAGGTCTTGGATAGAGAAAGTAAAATAATTCATTTTGTTGCCTCAGCCTGTGGATGGAGTTGTTCTGGAGACAGATACTCTCCAACAGACGGACATTAGTACTTTGGCTAAATTCCTCAGCAGAGCCATTGCCCTGCTGCTGCCATCTTTTTTCCAGGTCTAATTTTGCCTGTTGCCTTCTCTCTTTATGTCATGCCTCAAATTTAGCATCCCAGGCTTTTAAGGGGCAAGACTCTGTGTGAGATAGAGAAATCCAACTTAGGCACTGATTCTGCCTGCAAAGCTGGACCAGGTGGGGAAGTTAAAAATGACAGTCCCAGGAGCCAGCATATTGAAAGGGGAACTATTGGGTGAGACAGGAGCAGATTTCCCAGGGAAGGACAGCTCTCTGGCTTCTGAGTGCATAGGTGTCACCTGGGATTCTGAAATTTCTCTTGAAGGTTGATACACAAAGGAAGCTAATGCTTCTCTACCAAACAGAGTGAGGAAGAAATAATTTCTTTTCTTTTTTTCTTTGTTTTTTTTTTTTTTTTCTGCTAATTGGACATCTAGGAAATGGAAAGCGAAATGTCTTTCTGGTAAATTTGGCATATAGAATAAAATTTAGGTCTCAGAAGGGCTCTGCCCACCAAGATTTTTGAGTGCTGTGGGCTCTCTTAGCCTCTTCCAGTGTCACTGCTACAATTTATGTTTTATGCAGTGAAATACCAGTGGTTGAATTACTTGATGAGACGTTCAAACTTTGTCACTTGCCACGTGAGTGATATAAGCATTGTTTTATAGGATATTCCTTTTCTGAATGTTCTGGAAGAGCCTGACACTCTTAAGAGGTGGAAGAGATCCGGGCTGAGGTTCCCATCCAAGAGAGTAACAGTGGGGTTTAAAATGTGGATCACCCAGGCCACAGGCACATACCCCAGCTCCTACAATGTAGGGTTTAGTACACGTTTAAAGGCATTGACTAAACTGGTCCCTGCTGGTTACTAAAGAGTCTGTGGTGCTGAGTAACCTGGTCTAGATTCTTGCCATTAATGTGCCACAGGGGGGCTTAACATATTATGGACATAATGGCTCTTCCTTTAAAAGCACCAAACTCCTCTTGCACTCAGAGTCTTTTTGGGGTATGCAAGGAATGCATGAGCAGGCTGCTGAGAGCAGCAGCCAGTCATTTGAGCAGTCTGAACTTTTTGCTTGGCTGCCCTATTTAAAATGGGTACCAGTGGAGCAATAGATTGGCATCTAATGTTAGTTAGGAAAAAAACCCTACACACTTAAGTGAAACAGTAGCAAAGTGATTTTTTTTTTGTAAATCTCTGGAATTAATAATTACAGCTATTTGAGAAGAAAAACAGTATCATTCATACTGAAATATATTCTATTCCTTCCCACAGGGGAAGCCTGTGTAGGTGTGGAGCTGCAGTCTGGGAAATTAAAAAATGCAAATTAAAAAATGCAAATGTAAAAGAGAGGTATTGCATGCTGCAGTGCTCTAAGGGTTTTTTTGAATAGCAGCAAATTAAAGAAATGCTATGTAATCAAAGTTTATATCAAGCCTATGAAAGAAAAGCAGCATTATCTCTAAATATAGTGATAGTACTCTGCTCCTGATCCTTTATATTGTGTACATATTACCAGTAAATTACAAAGCTACTGTATTATGGGTTTCAACAAGTCCTTGAAGAAAATGCACATTACCCTTTTATATGACACTTTATTCTGTTGGATTAAAACATGATGATTAGAAAGGAAAAGGTAGTTGGGTGACTTATTTTTTTCAACTCAGTTCATTCAGGTTTCTCCACCCCATTTCCTTTTGCTGTCAGTACAACAAGGGCTTCCCAACTTGAGCTTTTTGCTGCCAGTGGTAATACAGGTCAATCAGATAAACTGCACTGATTGTATAGATTGTTCTGTCTTCCACATCCCCTCCCAATTTATCCATATATATAACGCTGTCCACCTGTTTTTCTGTTTCACATCAACTTCATTTGTGGTCTGTTTGCAACATTTCCCACAAAAGGCCAACACAGCCCATCTAGGGAATAAATGCACATGCAAATATTATCTGTTCAGTGTTTCAAGATAAGCACAATGCAGTGAGAAGGAAGGTAAGCAACACGGCCACTTAGGAACTTCCCAGCACAGGGGTACAGAATGGCAATATACAAATGGATTAACTGCACAGAGAGTGGGCAATGTGGCTGAGGAAAAGGAGAGAATCAGGCAAATGGTGCATCCTAGCAACATTCAGGTAACCTGTGGTCTCCAAGGCAATATGTTACTAGTTTTGAGAGGGATGAGATCACTGCCAACTAAAATGAAAAATAAGCTGTGATGGAAACTCAAATTTATTTGATTGGTAATTACAATCACTTTCTCCAGCAGAACTCAGGATATGTTGGGCATGACTAAGAACAGAGGCCCAGCCATAAACCCCATAGCTGGGAGTTTCACCAAAGGTAAGGGAACTTTTTAGGTTTTGTTTCTTCTGTTTGAAAAAAAACTGTATTGCTTTGTGCTATGATGATTGCACAAGTTTTGTTATTTTTTTGTGATTCTTGGTCAGAAAACTTGCTGGAGCCAGAGGTTTGCCCATGACAATCTCTGGGCTCCTGCAGAGATTATGGAGGGTGGAAAGTAAAGGGTGGAAAGGATTATGGAGGATGGAAAGTAAAACAGAAATGGAAGAGCCTTCTTTCCTCAAATATTACAGGGGAAGTTTGCAACCACAGCAAGTTGTAAAGCCTGGAAGTTGAGGAAAGTAGAGCAGATTTATCTAAAAGCAACGCTGGCTTTACACAAATGCTTGTGACCAGAGAATTCAGATTCTTTTGGCTGAAAATGTGCCTGCAGTCTGAGCTGTACACAGAACGCAGCTCTGGATTTGGCAGATTGAGCAAAAGAAGACTTTAGCAGAATCTCTAGGTACTTGAAGAAACTAGGTCAAGAACAGCAAGGTAGATAGTTGCTGAATAAAATATTTTTTAGATTCTGATTTTAATTAAAATAAAGCATAACTACTCCATTGTGGCACCACTACAGTTTACAATTCTTTCTTAATTTATTTAATGAATCAAAGCAGATAAATCAGTGCTTGCAAATAGTGCTTGCAAAGTCTCCTAGATTAAGAGACAAAACTCAGATAACCTTCACCAAATACATTAATAAAACCAGAATTATCAAAATAATCCAAATACCTCTATAGATTAAAAATACTGAAGGGATTTGAAAACTGCTCTTAACAATAGTTGTAAAAAGCATATTTTTAAATGTAATACTGTAATATAGGATATGCTGCTTACTGTTCATACTCATTAGACAGAGGATGTTAGAATAAGATGTCATGCAATGGCAAAAAGGTGGCATTTTCAGAGCTGTTATGACCATGTGATATGGCGAGGTGGGCAAAGATTCCTGGAGGGCATCTTCTTGAGGAACTTCTTATATTTCTATGATTTTCCCTTTCTCTTGGTCTGTCAAAGAGGGAATTAAAACAGAACTGCATTGGCAGTGCAAAACACTCACTGGTAGGCTGTGAAAGTCACTTATGATGTGACCTTTACCAGCTCAGGAGATGAACTTGTCCAGTCCCAACCAATTCCTACAAAGGCCAGTCAGCATCACTGTTTCTTTACCCACTTACTGGATCCTGACAGACGTTTGTAACTAGTCTCGCTCTGCTCCCAAAGGGGCAGTTTATTACAAAAGTACTTAAGTGTTTCCATGATTAGCATTCCAAATACTTCATGGCACCACAGATGAAACACAGGTCTACCTCTCCTTTGACATTTTAGTCCTAAATTGAGCTGGCCACTCAAATTTTATATTCTCTGCAGTGTGCATTTAGCAGCCCTGAACCTTTTCCAAATAGTCTGGCTATAGGTGCTTAGAAGAATCCATTACTCTCAAATTCAAATACTACCATAAAAGCTGCTGTAACACCAGGGGTCCTCAAAAGGTCTTTGCCCAATTCACCTAACATTATCAAAGTGCTTGTAACTGGACATTTATATTACATTCCTTATTTTAGTCTATTTTTAATGTAACTAGCTTTGAGAAAAGATGGTGAATTTCTCAAGGTCTTAAAAGAATCTAATATATCTTTACTATTGGGTCTTCTAGTCTTTACACTCATCCCTTTTTCATGACAGCTAGAGTCAAGTTCTGCTATCAGTAGTTACTGGTTTTATGGGTGTCAGTATTAGCTGTTCTGGAGCCCCTAAAATGGCTTAAGTTACTGAAGTCATTATCATTTCTATGGCAAAACAAGCTGAGTTGTCAGGCTCGTCCTTTTCAAACCAACTAAATCATACCTTCCTGCCCTGACATCACTGGAATTACCCATCTGTTTCCTGTATTTTAGTGCCTTGTTGATTTGAGAAGTGTCTCACTCATGTTTCTAACTAAAAGTGATGTGCTGAAGCACATCTGCAGGCATTGAAGCAAGCTTGCAGCACCTATTCAGTGAATGGATTGAAGGACTTCTGCCTCTAAAGCTATTAATCTTGTACCTTCTAAGCAGAGAAGTCAATAACATTTTGGAAAGTCAAATTGTTCATAACGGAACTGTGGGTGGTGTCAATGCAGAAAAAGCTCATAATTAGTGGGAAATACAGAGGAATATGTATATTTATTTGATATTGGGTGGTGTGTATCAGAAACATAGAAAATACCTCTAGCAAGAAAAAACAAGGAAATTGTTGTAAAAGCCTTGTTTGCCAAAGAAGGGGGGAAACAGATCCAAAACCAGAAGAAGCAGGGCTGTAAGAAGTAATAATCAAATGCACATAGTAACTAGAGCTGGTCTACAGTGCATAACCTTTTCCTTCAGATGTGGATTGAAATCTTTCCAAATATCAATTAATCCCTAATCTACCATGCATTTCCTAGTTGCTTCCTGTGCATTATTAATGGACTGGTCACCCTGAGATGAAGGTAGGAAGTAAAAGCAATTAAATTCCTCTCCCACCCCTGCAGATACAATTGACCTAGAGGATTCAGCTACACGTAAAAATTAAAAAGCTCCAAAAAATAATAAGCATGTCCTTCTTGCCTGAGCCAGACTGTGTAGTCTAAAAAGCTGCATGCAAGAGCAACAGCAAGGTCCCTTTATATAAAATATCAAATTCTATGATCAAGGCAAAAAAGCAGGTGCCCAGTCTCTGCTGGTTTTTCATGGTGGTGTCCTGTAGCTGGATGAAAACTTTAAACCAGAATTCCAGACACTGATTCTGTTCTCAGTGTAGAAAAGAAAAGCCCATCTGTCTCCTGGGAAGTATTGATTCCATTTGAATTCCAAGAAACAATTTTAACTTCATGCTTTTGTGGAGGGTGATGGCCCCAGAGTTCAGGAAGGCTTCTGACTGTGTAATACAGTTAACTCTGGTCTGAGAGGGATACAGTCATCCTAGCCTGCAATTCCCAAACAGATCAGTCAGCAGTGGTAACAAGGAGAGCTCTGTGGCTGCTGTTTGCACTCTAACATTAAAGGTTTGTGTTTGTTTCCAGTGTTGGAACACTGAGGTGAAAGTCTATCCCTTTTGCTCTGTTCAGCATCACTGGAGATAACATACTAGGCTAAAACAGGTGTTTTTCCAAATCACCCCAATTATCCTCCCGTTTAGGGAAAAAGTCTCCTAGCTCAGCCAAGATTGTTACCAAATTCGGGGTGCATGAAGAACTGCCTGGTAAGGGAAGGAGGAGGAAAACACGGGAAGTGCCAACACAGGGAAGAAAGGGTCATGTGGTTGTATCAATGCACAGGTCACTCTGTCTGTGGGTGAGGTCCTTGGCTGTACACACCCTGTGTCACTCAGATATTCCTCACTGTTTGTTCCCTCTCTGGGGCAGCCACCAGCTGCTGCCATTCAGATGTGTGGGGAGTGAACCACATCTGGCTCTCCTTGCCTTGCAACCCTGATGCAGCCAGGAGAGCCCAGCGACAGAAACCAGGGTGGGCTCGTGCTGAAAGGGTAAGGCAGGATGCAAATTGGTATTGTCATAAAATACTCAAACAAAATGATATCAAGTATTAAAAACTCTGTTTACATGCCAGCAAGAACTGAGCAAAATCACAGAACACAAGCTTGATTCTGTGCCTTTTAATGAGACCATTGTATCCATTCTTCATAATAACATAAATTAAGGAATGACCATCTACTTCGATTTTAATTTATAATAAATGCTTATAATTTATATTAAATTAAGTTCTAATAAATTTCTATTTCTTTTGCTCAGTTTGTCAAACTGAGTTTCTAAAGTGGTTTTTTTTGCTCTTTTAAAAAGACAAAAAATATGGAGATCATAGTACATTCTAATCACTTGTCAAAATCCCTTTTTTAAAATCAAAGCTGTTGAATGTTCAAGAATCCTTTTTATGCATAGAAATTACTGAGTTTTACTTTTCCATGATTTAAAACTGATTTTATTAGTATTAGCAAAAATGCCGTCACAGACAGACTAAAATCTTGTGCCTTAACTCAAATCCCAGCTAATTATGGCTCAGCTGTAAAGTTAAAAACCCTTGAAAAACAAGGTTTATAAGAGAAGTATTGATACAGTCTTAACTATAGCCATGTGAATGGAGCCACTGTAATATTGTTTGGAAATAGTGTTCTAAAAGGGAATCTTTTATGAAAAGAGATGCCAGCTGTTCACTTTGGAAACATTTATTTCATTGGCTCGTGATAAAATTGGCTGTGAAAGATATTATTCTGAAACACAGAAACTTCTTAATTTCATTATGACCTGAAGTCACTGAGGAAGACATGATGCCTAAGAGCAGTGAAAAAGGATTGCTGCTGTTGGTTTTTCTTATATTGCTTTTCAATAAATATACACATTTTCTTAGAATAATTCATGCTGGACAGACCCTCAGAAGGTCATCAAATAACTCTGCTAAGAGCAGAAGAAAATAACGATATATTATTTTTATTTCACTTTTTGCAACAATTTTTTTTTTTTTTTAATTTAAAAAAATCCACTTGCTTTGCTTTGAGGGAGCAGAAGTCTGCAGGCATGGCTAGGACCCTCTACCAATACCATCCATGCTCCACAGTCCAGGATTGCACAGGAATAGGTGGATAGGTGGCTGCAACCACAAGAACCCAAAATCCAAAGAGATAAGAAAAAAAATTTAAAGAATCAGAGAGGAATGTGTCCTGTTGACTGGGTGATGATCTGCCACGTGGATTGCAAGTCAAAAAGGTTGCTGGGTCTGGGAGTGGGATCCAGCATCTGAGAGATGGCAGGGGAGATGCCACAGCTGAAAATGCTGTTCCACTGATACCTTTCTGCAGAGAACCTAACAGGAAATAGCTGTCTACCCTAATAATAAGATCTGGCATGAGTCTCCTGTACATCAGATGGAGCTTGTTCACCCCACAGGAGAGGTGTGGAGTGGTGTATCTCTGTATGTGCCCAGGTACACCTGGCTATGAAGTCCTGAAACTATATCCTACATATCCTGTCTTACATATATCTCATATTTTAGCATATTTTAATGGTGCAAAAACTCTTGGAAATGCAGAGGAGGAAAGAATTTCTGTTTCCTTGAGTTATTTTTCAGTAATGTCCATGCAGGGCTAAGACCCAGATCTGTGTGTGTTCGTTCCTTATTGCTACATCTCTTTGTCCTTGAATAGTGCTGATGAACTTCTTGTACTGGCCAGTGTCTGCTGCTATTATTGACTGCAGTCTTCATCCTCTGCCATGTCATTGAACTTCCATCACCATTGGCTTCATTAGCAATTATTGTTTTGGTGAAAAAAATCCTATACCACATATTATGGGATGACCTGAGGCCATTATGGAACTGAACGTTCCCATAAGGATAATCTAGCCACAATATATCAAAGTGCTGAGAAAATATCCTTTGTCTCAGGTCATGTAACCAATGTGGCTGTTAAATGTTTTAAAAGCAGTTATATAACTGGCATTTAAAATGTTTTATTGAAAACCCTTAATGCTACTGTAACTAAAATGACCTTTAGTGGAGTAACACACATCACATCTTAAAATGGGATTTGATTAAAAACATCAAATGTTATAATGTGCTCATGGCTGTACATGTGCCATTCTGTCATACCAACCACAGAGGCAGATGTACTTGCTTTGGCTCTTCAGTATTTTCAGCTTAAATTTATAACCTAGTTACTTTACAAGGAATGCTTATTATAAG